AGGAGGAGATCCCAAAAGCCCTGGATTAGGAGCCAGAAGACTCTGTCATCTTGCCCTTACCTCTTAACTCTGTGGTGACATTTAGGCAGCCCAGTTATAACCCTCTTGGAGCCTTTCTTTTTCTCCCTGGTAAAGTGGTATCCTCTCAGCTTCCCTGAAGGGGCACAAATGAGAAATGGACAGGAAATGTTCTGGAATCCTTGAATCAAGGAATTGAATCCTTGAAACAAGGTGAGGATGGTGTCCCTTTGAGAGCCACAAAGCCCTATCTTGGCCGAGAATATGGGAGGTCCTGGCTGGGTCTTGATGGCAGAAATAAAAGCCTGAATTGCCGTGATAAAGCTGGAAACCTTGGCCAGGGTCAGCAAGCTTAATGCACTCTTTAAAATATTCCTGAAAGAAGGATTGTTGCTTTTCATGATACGAAACATCACACCGTCATTTCAGATGGTTCTGTCTGGATTGCAGGTATCCATAGGTCTGGATGCATAACTGGCTCATTTATCTGGAATTATATTATTCACCCTGAATCTTTTCCTAGGAAAATTAACTTACAGTTTCACGACCCGTTATGTAAAAGTACTGTGCCTCTCTTTTTTTCTCCCTTAAGCTGTCCTGTTTTACTGTAGAAATTTCAGGAATAGTCTACTGATCCATACTGCTTTTCTGAGTTGAAAATTTCTGCCAAGTAGTTAGCTGTTCATAGCGTGTGCTGTTTTTCCTTCCAGATCTTCTTGCTCATTGTAGTCTTTCTCTGTTCACCCTCATACTTTTCCTTGTCCTCTTTTCAGCCTGTTCACATGAAGGTCAAGACCAGTGATACTGGGTCAAGTGCTACTTCAGCTTTAGGAAAGTTATCCTAATTTAGAGAGAATGGTTTGTTTTTGGAAAGTGTTTTGTCTCGAATCTGGAGGCCAAAAAAAAACCAACTTAAAACTATCCATGATTTATTTGCTAATAAGATGACTAATTCTTTAATTGTATCAGATACCCACACAAATACATTCCAAGTGTCCACTTGAGCTCTCCTGTCCTGGCAAGTCAGACCCATAACAAAGAGGTTTAGGGTGCCAAAGATGTACTGGCCTTCAGTTTGCATAAAAGGTGTGCTCAGAGGCTCACTTGAAAGGAGCTGACCTAAGGAGGGCATGGACCATAGACTTATGGATTATTCAGGTTGTGTGTGACTTGGGGCCCTTTAAACCTATAATTAAGGAGTAGGGAATATCTTGTGGGTTTTTTTTTTTTTTTTTACCGCCTTCTTTGGAGGAAGTTTAAGAAGGCCCTTTCTTGGTACCTCAGTAGTGGGATTCTTGAGGGTTGGAGGGTGGGTAGTGGTTGAGAAGTGAGGGGAGAATGGAGTGGTGATGGGAGGCTGCTTACCTGGGTGAGCTGAGAGCACCCACATAACTTTATCATCTGCCATGTTCTCTAGCTGTGTAGAGGCTTTGGGGAGTGGAAGGTATGGTGTAGGGACTGGTTTTATAAAAACATCTTTTACTTATATGTCCTTAACCGAAACTATTTAGCAGTGATAAATACAAGCAACTAGATTTGGATCTACTGGACAGATTTTAAGAGACGCAAAACAGTTTGTGAATTCCCATTGATCTAATCTGGGCTGTTCAACATAGTGATAACTTCACAGCATTCTCAGCGTGGCAAATACTTCTGCCTTGAGACTATTTGTTAGAACCCAGTGAATTTTTAAATCTTATAGTAACAAATAAATAAATAAACACTACCCTTGATTAAAATACATAATCAATAAGTTACAAGGATGTAATGGACAGCACAGGGAATATAGTCAATATTTTATCATAACTTTGTATGGAGTATAATCTATATAAGTAGCAAATCACAATATTGTATACCTGAAACTAATATAATGTTGTAAGTCAACTATGCTTCAATTTTAAAAAAACAAACAGGGCTTCCCTGGTGGCGCAGTGGTTGGGAGTCCGCCTGCCAATGCGGGGGACGCGGGTTCAAGCCCTGATCTGGGAGGATCCCACATGCTGCAGAGCAGCTAAGCCCGTGTGCCACAACTACTGAGCCTGCGCTCTAGAGCCTGCGAGCCACAACTGCTGAGCCCATGTGCCGCAACTACTGAGGCCCACGTGCCTAGAGCCCGTGCTGCGCGGCAGGAGAAGCCACTGCAATGAGAAGCCTGCGCACCACAACAAAGAGTGGCCCCTGCTCACTGCAACTAGAGAAAGCCCACGCGCAGCAACGCAACGAAGACCCAACGCAGCCAAAAATAAATAAATTAAAAAAAAAAATCCTATGCTTCTCCAGTGATACCAAACTGTTTCCTTCACACCATCCTTTTTGAACTTTCACATTTTGTATTGAAATTTTAGAAGAATCAATGTTTATTAACTGCAGCCCTCCCCCCCAATAAAGAAACCCATTTTGTTCTAGAGGTCAGAGAAGAGTGGCTACCATTTGACATGGTGGTCTTAGAACCCCCATCACCTTGGCTAGGATTCCAGCTCTGCCCTTATCACAGTTACTTCTTTAAATCTGTTTCCTCAGGTATAAAATGGGAATAAAAGTAACAATACCTTCTTCAGAGGCTCCCTGTATCAAGATAATGCACCCTGCCTGAGAAGCAATACTTCTTTGGGATTCTTTTCTGAGGATGAATTCTCAGCTGTAGAATTAACCTGATAAGAAAATTCTTTTTTTTTTTTTTTAATTTGTTTTTGGCTGCATTGGATCTTCGTTGCTGTGCACGGGTTTTTCTCTAGTTGTGGCGAGCGGGGGCTACTCTTCGTTGCAGTGCGGTGGCTTCTCTTGCTGTGGAGCACGGGCTCTAGGCGCCTGGGCTTCAGTAGTTGCAGCACGTGGGCTCAGTAGTCGCGGCATGTGGGCCCTAGAGCTCGCGGGCTTCAGTAGTTGTGGCACGTGGGCTCAGTAGTTGTGGTGCCCAGGCATAGTTGCTCTGTGGCATGTGGGATCTTCCCGGACCAGGGCTCAAACCCGTGTCCCCTGCATTGGCAGGCGGATTCTTAACAACTGTGCCACCAGGGAGGTCCCAGCCTGATAAGAAAATTCTTTACCGAGTATTGCCATTCCACTTTTTGGGGTTGTCTTTTAATGTCAAGCTTATCTAACTGGTTGTTCTTGGGCCATCTGTCTCACTAGTGTTAGAACTCTGCAGTTACAACCCCAGCAGACCATCTCATTACTCTTTCTTTGTTCTGTTGCCTACAGCCTGAAATCTATTCTTGGCCTTTGATATTTCACTAAAATGTCATTTTCATTTCTCTTTTCCTTCTTTGCTATAAACAGCAGGGATCTTAAGAATACAGTTTGACTTTTGACAAATGTATACACCCATGAAACCTCATCCAGATCAAGACATACACAGTATATTTCTATACCCAAGAAGGCCCCTCCTGACTCTCTCCATTCAAAACCCCTACCCCTATCACTTTCAGATTTCTAGGGCCTAGATTAATTTTGCCTTCTTGAACCTAACATAAATGGAGTTTGAGGTCTCTCTCTCCCTCACTACACTGTTGTTGCTTGTAGCAGTAGTTTTCCTCTTTATTGTTAGGGGTTGTTCCAGTGTATGAATATAGCACAGTTTCATAATCCAAACTTCTGTTGATGACATTTTGGTTGGTCTCAGTTGTGGGCGATTTGGATGAAGCTGGTATGAAGCTGGTTTCATCTCTCTGAACATTCAGTGTGGTTAGTGTCTCCTCCACCTCCTAACCCTGCAGCCCTGGGCAAGTGTCTTAATCTTTCTGCCTTGGTTTCCTCATCTGTAAAATGGAAGGTCAGGAAACAATTCAAGGTTGTGGCCACCATTTAAAAAAAAATAGAGTAAAATAGGGGATCAAAGTAAATGACATGGAACTGCACATGTTGCAGCTCACATAAATACAGTTATGTGTGTGTGCAGGTATGTCCATAATAACAAATATAAACTGTATTTGTTATTATGAATTGTGAGCACATCCGTTTGCAGCACACTGATTTGTATATGTCCTTGTGTAAGCAAGGAAGTTGAAGCACCTGTGAATTATCTAGTTAATGCATATCTTTGCCCTCCAGTGTCCAAAACAGCCACAGCGTTAAGGGTCATTTATACACAGCTAGCTATAGGCCAGCCACTGTTTTAAAAGCTTACATATAAAGGCATATAGCTCTCAAAACCGTCCTATGAAATGGGTTATGTATCCCCATTTTACAGATGGAGAAGCTGAGACATTGGTTATACAACTTGCCCAAGGTCACAGAGCTTGAGTCTAGGATGATAGGGCCATGATTTGAACCCAGGCAGTGCAAGTCTAGAATCTGTGCTCTAAACCGCTATTCCGGGGGACATAAAAGAGGCAAGTGGCATGTGAGCAAATGCAATTAATAATAATCTAATCAATACAATGCTCCTCTCTTTTATTTCAGATATGAGAAATGAGTGTTGGACGTCGAAGAATAAAGTTGTTGGGAATCCTGATGATGGTAAATGTCTTCATTTATTTGATTGTGGAAGTCTCCAAAAGCAGTAGCCAAGAAAAAAATGGAAAAGGGGAAGTAATAATACCCAAAGACAAGTTCTGGAAGATACCTGACCCTCCCAAGGCATATTGGAACAGGGAACAAGAAAAGCTGAACAGGAAGTACAATCCCATTTTGAACATGTTAGCCAACCAGACAGGGGAAGCATACGGATTTTCCAACATAAGCCATCTGAATTATTGTGAACCTGACCTGAGGGTCACATCAGTAGTTTCAGGTTTCGACAGTTTGCCAGACAGATTTAAAGACTTTCTGTTGTATTTGAGATGTCGAAATTATTCACTGCTTATAGATCAACCTGATAAGTGTGCAAAGAAGCCCTTCTTATTGCTGGCGATTAAGTCCCTTACTTCACATTTCGACAGAAGGCAAGCAATTCGGGAATCTTGGGGCAAAGAAACCAATATGGGGAACCAAACAGTGGTGCGAGTCTTCTTACTGGGCCAGACCTCCCCAGAGGACAACCATCCTGACCTTTCAGATATGCTGAAATTTGAGAGTGAGAAACACCAAGACATTCTTATGTGGAACTACAGAGACACCTTCTTCAACTTATCTCTGAAAGAAGTACTCTTTCTCAGGTGGGTGAGCACTTCCTGCCCAAATGCTGAGTTCGTGTTCAAGGGTGATGATGATGTTTTTGTGAACACCCATCACATCCTGAATTACTTGAATAGCTTATCCAAGAACAAAGCCAAAGATTTGTTTATAGGTGATGTGATTCACAATGCTGGACCTCATCGGGATAAGAAACTCAAGTACTACATCCCGGAAGTTGTTTACACTGGCGTCTACCCACCTTATGCAGGGGGAGGTGGATTCCTGTACTCCGGCCACCTGGCCCTGAGGCTATACAATGTAACTGACCAGGTCCTTCTCTACCCCATCGATGACGTTTATACTGGAATGTGCCTTCAGAAACTTGGCCTCGTTCCAGAGAAACACAAAGGCTTCAGGACATTTGATATAGAAGAGAAAAACAGGAATAACATTTGTTCCTATGTAGGTTTGATGTTGGTACATAGTAGAAAACCTCAAGAGATGATTGATATTTGGTCTCGGTTGCAAAATGCTCATTTAAGTTGCTAAATTATGTACAAAACTAAATTTTGCATAGAAAGATGTATCTCGAATAGTTCCCATGTTGTGTTCTCTCACATTAGAGGTAATTTCTATGTAAAACCATCAAAACTGCCTTTATGAGTAGTATCCATATGAGGGCCTCTAAACCTTTCAGTGTAGTACTTTCTGAAGAGGGAAAGCAGAAGATCCTAATTTTTATGTAGGATATGACAGGACGAATGGTTCTGACCCTTCCTGCTGGCTAGTGGTCATTATTTTCTAACTTGTCCCCCTTGTCATCTGAAATCATGTTTCTGGAATCTGGTCATGTTAAGTTATTTTTGTTTTGCCCTCATATGATGGTAATCCTATTTCCCATTATAATGAGTGAATTATCTGCAATTTAGGTATTCATAAACCTACTGGCTACAAAGACACTGTTATATATGACTCAATGCTTTTTGTGAAATGGAATTACATTTATTTTCATGAAATTTGGATGAATTTTTTAAATAGTCTGGAAAAGTTAACTTCTGTTGAAATTTCCTGCTGCCCCAACATTTCCTTGGGTTAATCTAATCAGTTTTGCAAAATGGGAATCACCGTGTGACATTCATCCAGTTTATCTTGTTATGGTCTTTTGGTCATAATAAGGAGGAAGCTTAACTATCTTGTATTTCATTTGCTGGGTGGTATCGTGATAGTTCTCTCTTTTTTAGTATTTGAAAATAATGAGTATGATTCCATAATCTTCAAACTGAAGATTGAATTGACCCTGGTAACCATATTGTGTTTATGATTTTTCATTGTGGACCAGGAAAGCGTATGTAACTTTTGAACTTTAAGTGAAAAGATTGACGTTTTTATCAGTGGTTTGTCAGTTTAAAACTGCAGAATTCTGTTCTTGCCACATGATTACGTGTTGCTTACACAAAATTATTATCCTGAGTAGTGACTGCTTTCCTGTTTCAGTGTAGAAGTGCCTGTGTTTTTATTTATTGTTCAGATCAAATACCAAAACATTTTCTTAAATATATTTTGTGTAATATTTTATTTGTATACAGTGTTGTTGATTAATTATTTAACTAGAGCATGGTATTTTAAGTAGTAAGTATAACATATGTTAAATAAAGTTAATTGTTATTTTTGAATTAAAAAATTTTGGGGGGGATATGAACTAGAATTCTGCCAAACTGTTGCTTATATATACTGTCTTGTAACATGCTTTCTTGAGACATTTTTGTGTTATAGATATGAAGATTCTTACCAGATGTGATACTGGGGACTGTAAGAAGATGGAAATAAAGTCACCATATTTTTAATTGTCACGTGTAATGTGTAACCTATAATCTCTGTTTCCAGCATTTAATTACATTTTCCCCAAATAGGCCATTTTTTTCCCCCAGAAACTATTACAGTAATATTGAACTATACCTTTTCATCTGTCTTTGTATTTAAAATTCTTAAAAGTGCTTTCCCATGTAGAGTCTTTAGGGAGGAGTATGAATACTTATTTACGCTTCCACTTTCAGTGAGTATAAAGGATTTAACTCTTTATACTCACTGAAAATGGAGTGAGTGGAATGGAGCAGCGTCTTAAAGATTCTATCATCCTAAGCCATGTCCATTTTGGGGTTTGTATCCACGGTGATGAAACATGGAGCAGCTTTGACCACTCAAGTTTCTTTCCTAGACTTTTGTTGAGAAGAAACTGCTAAAGCTCAATTAAAAACAAGTAGGCATTGGATGAAACTCCAAAAACAGAAGGATTAGTGTTGTGAGAACATGTAGCACACTGTCCTCTCCTAGTGGGAATGTTGAGGCCATACATGTGAGCGAGTATGAGGGCACAGATACGTGATATGGGTTTGAAGATTTGTAAGCTTGGTCCTTCTAAAGGATTCATGTGCCTGCATCTGATCTCTCTGCTCCAGTGGTTGTGAGTAGAGGGTGGTGGCCACATCACCACCTCAGGTTTAGAGACGAGTAATGAAGCTCTCAGAGCATTCATAGGCATTTGGTTCACAAATTGCTTGTGTCCATGTAACTTGACCATGTGTTCTTAAGTAATAGATTTCTCCTCTGAGGAAGATTTAATTTTTTTCTTTTAGGGAGTCTCCTTCACTGAGATTTCAAGTCTACAGAGAAAGAAGAGATGTAGCAGGTTTTGAAACATGTTTGGAGGACCACTGAGGGCCTTTGGTGAGCCTCTTCTTGACATGTGCCATTATTCGAACATCAGTCCTTGGTGCTGACAATGTCTGGTGGGTGAGATGCTCTCTGGCTCTTCTTTATTTGACAGAAGCTCTCATGCAGTTGTCACCTGAGCCCACAACACTGGTCATCGACCTCATGGGATGACCCTTTTCAGCAAAGGGATACTAGATGTTACAGCTTTCCACATGCTTGGGCTCAGTGTTGGTACTGACTGATCCCGTGCAAGGGCTTTTGGTGCCCATGAGCTGGATTCTCACCTGAGCTTCCATCTCTTGGATGTAAGCATCACAGCCTAATTCATTCTTGGAGAACTGTTCAATAACTGAGGCCTCAGTGGAAACTGCTTTTTGGACCTTTTTTCATGGTTACTCCCAAGTCATGTTGTTTTTGAGTTTGAGGGTTTTTGAGTTTGAGGGTCAAAAAGGCTAAATGAGCATTGCCAGAGTTTGGACTTTTCATAAACCCAACCACACCTTAAGAGGAAAAGGATGAAAGAGACCAGAATGGCTCATTTCCATCCCTGACCCTGCTTTCCTTTCTTGAGTTGGTTGAGAGAGAATGGAAAAGAAGGGCAGGAAGTTTGAGTCTCACTTGAAGTTGAATCCAGAATTAAAGGCACCCAAAGGGTGACCACCTACTACTTTTCTACTCCTGATTGGTATGGTCTGGAAGTCTGATGTTTTGGGTTATCTTGTTTCCCTTAGATGCAGGAAGGAAGAAAGCATTTATGAAGGTAAAGGATGGCTTATTTTCACTTCCAGGAAAGCTGAAATGAAAGAAGCCTTTACTTGGGCCAAAAGTTAACTTTTCTGTGATTTGCCTTAAGAAAAATGTCAGATGAAGTAAAAATTCTTGTTTAGAACAGGAAAGTAAATACTTCATGTGCTGGGCTGTCTAGATTATAGGATAAATTCATTTTTCCTTTATGTTAATTCTATATTAGTTTTATTTTTTAAATGCTAGGGTCATCTGCCAAGTAATTTTGAAACTGAGCTTTACCTAATTAGGGTTAACAATCTGAAAAATTAAAATATTTATCATGATTTATTTAGGTCTCAATACACTTGAAAGTTTTTTTGCCCTTAGTATCTTTTTTTTTTTTAATAAGTGTATTTATTTATTTATTTTTGGCTGCGTTGGGTCTTCATTGCTGTGCGTGGGCTTTCTCTGGTTGCGGCGAGTGGGGGCTACTCTTCACTGTGCTGCACGGGCTTCTCATTGTGGTGGCTTCTCTTGTTGTGGAGCACAAGCTCTAGGCGCGCGGGCTTCAGTAGTTGTAGCTCGCAGGCTCCGTAGTTGTGGCTCGCAGGATCTAGAGCGCAGGCTCAGTAGTTGTGGTGCACGAGCTTAGTTGCTCCATGGCATGTGGGATCTTCCCGGACCAGGGCTCGAACCCGTGTCCACTGCATTGGCAGGTGGATTCTTAACCACTGCGCCACCAGGGAAGCCCGCCCTTAATATCTTGAAAGGTAGAGGCCAAGAATGAGGCACTTTTGTCTTTAAGGAGGCCCTGAAATCTTGTTTGTTCACATCACATATGAAATTCCATATTTATTAATTGTAAGATTCAGTACTTTTTATATACCACTAAAAAGCCCAATATGATTTGTATCAATTGTACAATATGCCTCAATTGTGGGGGTGTTAAAAAATGAAATATTACATCTTAGAATAATTGAAGTACTGCATTAGTGTGTGTATATGTGTGTGTGTGTGTGTGTGTGTGTGTGTGTGTGTATGCCCTTAAATTGAAAGATGAAGCCTCATTTAGGTTTATTTGAAAGATGGAGCCCTGTTTGGGTTTATTTCCTGCTTCTCTCAGTTTAATCTGTGTTTAGGAATTTTCACCCAAGCAACCATAGTAGTGGCTTCTGAGCTTTGGCAGTTGTTTTCTTCCTGTCTGTTGTGCATTGTGAAAGGGAATGTATTGATTGTGCTGAAGCAGCAGAAGTAGAGTTTTTAATTTGATTGTAATCCAAGGGCTTATTTCGAAGTCAGGGGCCAGGCGGTTGAACAATGGTGCTTGCAGCTTCCCGACAGCTGCCCTGTATCAGGGAAATGCTCTTTCATCCTACGCAAGCAGTAAGCCGGCCACATGAAGAACTTGCATCCTCAGTGTCAGCATGGGCTCCCTCATTGCTCTGGAATCCTACCATCCTGTATACAGCCCATCGCTAGCCTGTCTTCAACTAACACTCTCTTCTAGCTCATCATCCAAGCCCTTCCCCAAATTGGCTTTCCTAACCATTCTATTGAAAGGCCATCAGTAACTCTGATCTTGGTACCAACTTCAACCACCTCTTCTTTTAAAATAATTATATCAAAATAAAAAGATATTATCCTACCCTTGGTTGGGGTTCTTCCAGAAACAGATCGTAAAGAGGAGGATTCTAGGTCAAGTTAGTGTTTTGGGAAATGCAGGTGCATGGTCCATGGTGAAGTGGTGTTGGGAAGGCAGACAGCCAATAGGAGTGTGTGTTAAGCCAATGGGCACCATGGAACTGGAGCTCAGCCCCTGGGGCATCTCTGAAGAACAGTCCAGAAAACTTGCGTCAGAAGGACCCCTCCTCCATCCCTGGCGGGGGGTAGAGGGGCTGGGCTATTTTTTGTAACAGTTCTGTTGAGACATTCAAGTGTGCTACGATTTTGAGTAGATTAGGGTTGTGCTGTAACTATCATTACAGTCCATGACAGAAACAATTTAGTTTTCAGTCATAACTGTTCTATTACTTAGCCCTTTACAGAAATTATTTATTTTTGGCTATGTCTTTTACTTTTTAAAAAAATTTCCAAAGCAATATCTTGTTCTCTGAATGCTTCTCTTTCCATAGCCGCCTGTTCTTTATGGATGCAATGACTTCCTATAAGAAAATAAATTAGACTTTTATTTTGATAATCCACAGATTTTCTAAGGGCTTGGTTATGAAGAGAATATTAAGTGATTATTTGCCATTTTTGTGAACGAAGGATTGAACTGACTTTATAAGTTCCTGAGAAAGATTTCTTTTTCAAGGCTATTCACCCAAAAGGCCACTTCCCTGCATTTGGAGTGAGGGTTTGTATGCGTGTGTGTCTTGTTTTAGGCCGATGTCCTTTCAGGGGCTGAGCAGGTGGGGAACAGGTAGATTTGACCCCAGAAGCTGGAGCTGCCTTTCCCTTTTTTGCTCTGGGCTTGTTTGGGGTGTTCTGCTTAGCTTCTCCCAACCCACATACTGCATCTCTCTGCTCAGTTTAGGGAAACTAAACTACCATGTAAGCATGTAAGCATCTGAGCTCATGCTCACCCAACTTGTGTATATATGTGTGTGCACGTGCGTGCGTGTGTGTGTGTGTGTGTGTGTGTGTGTTTGGTGGGGGGCAGTACTGGTCCAGATGGTGTGCAGCCAGGCCCTCAGTCAAATCACCCCCATTGCTTCCTCGAACCTGGGAGCTTCTGTGGGGCTCCCATGGGAAGGCCGGCCGCGTATCCCCTGCAGCATTTTCTCGTTCATGTTCTGGACTGTGCTTTCCTTCTTGTTTGTCCGTTAATACAATTCCGTGTGTTTTCCATCTTTCCGAGAGGAAATCTTTCTGTTGCTGGTACCATGTTCGTTGCCAGCGCTGCCTTGGGTTTCTTCATTTTTGTCTCCCTTATTGTCATTTCAAGGTGATTTTAGAAGTGGGAGGAGGCCAGCGCTTCTGACTGCGCTCTATTCTGAACTGGGGTCCCCAGGCTGTTCCTCCTAGCCCCTGACCTCTGCGGCATTTCACCCCACGCTCTCCTGCCCACCCTGTGCGACAGGCACTCCTCACCCATATGCGCCACCGCAAAATCCTCTGCTCCTTCATCCTGTCAGCTCCTTCATCCTGTCAGCTCCCTTCATCCTGTCATCCTGTCAGCTCTCTGTCAGCTCCCTGGTTCTGAGCTGCCCACGCTGCTCCCACAGCCTCCTGCCGGGCCTCTCCCTTAGGGTCCTCCTGCTGCACCCAGTATTCCCACCACTGAACCCCACTCTTCAGTCTACCTCCAGTGAAGAAACCAGTGGGAAACCTTTCAAGTTCATTTCTTGCCCACCTCTCCTCCTCTGCCACCCTCCTGCCCTTCACTCAGTTCCTCCTCTGCAGGACCTGCCTACCTGGCTTCTCCCTGTAGGGACAGATCTGCCTTGAAGCCGAGCACACTCGGGGTCACACTTGTCCACTTTACAGACTTAGGGTCACAGTCAGACCCCTCAGATGTCCCCCCTGCCCCCACCCCCCATCCTGGGGAAATGGGTCTCTGAGGCCCCAGGTCTGGGGGAGGCCTTACGAAATGGGAGGGGTTCCATTTTATGGTTTCTACGGTAAATTTTCCCCTGACTTAAAAGGACTGTCCCTTGGCTCCTGGTCTCTTTGAATGCTTTTACCTCTGGGGCAGGTAGGGGTCGGGTGCAGACCTTCAGTTCCCCTCCAAGTGGCTCTGGGTTGCCCAGGAGCGTGGTGGATGTGTGAATGCCCCTCTGATCAAGGAAGAAGATTAGTATTCAAGGTCAGTTCCTTTGCTGTCGCGGCAGAGCACTTGCTACCTTGCCTTGTCCTTGTTGATATCTGCCCTGAGCTCCCCCTCAAAGCACCCTCAACCCTCCTCTGACTGCCTTGGCACGAGGCCTCTCCTTCCCTCCCTTGTTTGTCTTTATTATCCTGGTGGTGACAACGGGAACTGGCCTGAAAGGGCCTGGGCCAGAGCTCTCTCCCCCTGCCCTGTCCTCCACGCTGTCCCCTGTGCAGCAGCTACTGACGGGTGGGGTGGGAGTGAGGGCTGGCCCAGGGAAGGGGGCTCTGGGGCTTGTTCACAGACACCCAGTCCTGCCCAGGCAGCACCCCTTCAGCTGCCCAAAATTCCTGAGTGGCCAGGCCTTCCTCGCCTCGGTCTGGTCCTACCCAAGCTCTCCCTGGACAAAGGCCTGGCGCTCGCCTCCTTTGAATCAGTGGCCCTCTGGACTCTTCTCCTCTCGTTCAAGGGTTCAAGGCACTGGGCTCAGAATGCCTTTTCCCACTTGCCCCACCTCATTGCAAAATGGGATACAGT